AGCAAGTCGTTTAAGACAGTTAGGAAGGCTAACATTTTCTTAAAGAATTGATGCCGAGAGGCTGCCAAATTTTTGGGTGATTTGAACTTCGTAATATTTTAAAATCTTGAAATTTTTTAACTCATAAAAATATATAAACCGTAAATCATCTAAATTTTAAAATATTTGAAAATTATGGCTTTTAAAATTTAAGCGCTCCGGGTTCAAAAATATTTCGGATATGGGCTTTTAAAATTTACGCTCTTAAGGTCTCAAAAATATTTAAAAGTTTAGGCTTTTGAAATTTAAACATTTTAGGCTTAAAAATCTTAAAAAATTTGAGGTTTAAAATTTAAGATCTTAGGGTCCTAAACATTTTTGAAACTTCATGATTTAAATTTAAGGTCCTAAGCTCAAAAATAATCAAGCCTGAGAAATTTAGAACTTCAAAATCTCAAGCGAACAGAATGTGGTTCTTAAAAAGTTTAAAAAAAAAGAGCTTTTACATGTATTTTGAAAGCTCTAATATCCAAATAAAATTTTCAAAAAGGCTGGGCTACTTTCACGATAAGTATAGAGATGGTATAATAATTTGAATGTGAATATCTAAAGATTTGCACAAAATTATATACATATATCATATATGTTCAAAATATTTTGCTATCAATGTACATTCAGACAATGTACATGCATCCATATCATAAAGATATTTCTGTAACTAGCGAGTTGGGATGATTTTTGAGACACATAATATCACTTTAAGATATTATTTCAACTTCAATGTAGTATCTCAAAAGGCTTGCAATTACTTGATAACTCTTGTGCTCATGTCAAAACATCAAATTATATTTTACAAGAAAATAAAAGAATGTAATCACATCCTATAAATGTGCCATGCAATCACATTAACCAAAGACATCAAGATATATGCACATTAACAAAATACACCAGCATGCGCTCTCTCATTATCGAGAGGGATAAATAGCCATAGAAGCTTGTGCATATGGGAAACCACAAACCACGAATCAAAAAAGTCCTTATAAAATGAGGATGAAATCTCTGGGTAGTGTCCTATCTACTTTACCATCTATCAGACTAGTCAGACACCCATTCTTCAGCTGCTTAGATTGCTCTTCAAAAAATAGTTCTCCTATGGCATATGGGATTGTGAAACTACCAGTGTCCTTAAGTTTTTGAGGAAGCTTCTTTTGAATAATGATACTACATTCTTCACTCAGAGCTGCCGTCTTAAAATCTTATAGCTTTATTTTCTTATTAAGAGCTAGACATTCGCTCTAAGACTTGAGCAGAAAGATTGTTGATGGTAAGATTCTTAAACACTTATAAAAACCTAAAAAATTGATGATCCAACTTACGCTTTTGAAGCCTTTAGGGAAATGTTAGGGATAGTCTTTCTAGTTCCTTCCTATGAGGTGAGTCAACTTTTCCTAAGTCTATGATAGTTTTTTCACTAAGTCTTTCAGGCTCAGAGTTGGCTTCTTCTTCTATGGGCTCTCTCATATTCACTTCCTCCAGTTCTTTCACACTTCTGAACTTGATGGCCTTACCATGTTCATTCCCTTTATCCTAGGAGCTCACTTCAGTATTGCTAGGCAGGGTTCTCTGAGGTGTATTACTTAAGTTCACTATATGGCCTAGCTAGTTTTCAATAATATATTTATGATTTACAACTCAAAGGGTAGAAAGCAGTTGATGAGCATACGAGTTGTGGCTGTAACTGTAATATAATGGTGTCATTTGACAACAACAACTCAGTTAGATAGCTTTGGTCGTAACTATTTTATGGTCTTATTTGGTAGCAAAACTACAAAGACAAAGGACATCCGTCACGTCCTTACTCACATGTAATTTCTTTAATTGCTACTGGACCCTGCATCAAAATGCACACATGCATAACACCAAATACTCCTAAATGAGATAGATTTACCTTTTTATCGCTTCAGACTTCTTTAGATAAGCATTACTCCAAAGGTACTAATGAACTACAATTAATTAGATAAATTGTAATGTTTATTACTTCAGCCCCAAACTATTTTAAACGGCTTGCATGTAGCTTATTCTCCTTGCACACTCTCTGATTTTTCTATTTATTCTCTCAACGACACCAATCTATTGTGGTGTCCTTAAAATAGTGAACTCATGTCTGACCTCCTCTGTAGCACAGAAATTTCTAAACTTATGATTACGGTACTCACCCTCATTATCGGACCCAAGATACTCCAGCTTCAAGCTTGTCTCATTTTATACCATAACATTCCACTGCTTAAAGACTTCAAATACATTAGTTTTTTTGCTTTAAGAAATAAACTCAAATTTTTCTCGTGTGATCATCAATAAATGCGATAAAATAATAAAAATTTTCAATGGACTGAACTGGAGTAAGATCCTGTACGCCAGTATGCACTCACTCCAATTTCTTTCATTTCACTACAGACCCATTCTTAAATAAAGAAACTTTCTTCTGCTTGTCATATATAGTTTTCACAAAAATTCAAATTAATTGACTTCAAACCCTGAAGATTACTTTTAGAAAGTAGGGACTTAATGTATGGCCAAACCTACATTACCCCAGACCAGCATCCACCATGGTTCCGACCACATCAACGAAATCAGTCATTTCATTTATCAGATAAAGAATGCCTTCAATGTTGTCCTGTGTCATAAACAATGCCCCCTTGGAAACCTTTGATGAATCACTTGTGAAGTAATCACGAGTCTTGGTTTTGTTAACTGGCTCACAAAGATAAAATTTCTTTTCAAATTTCATTAAGCCTCCAGACTGTTCCATTCGACAACATGATATCAATATTACCCTTTTCAACGATACTGCAGGTCTTGTTATCTCTCAAATAAATCTTTCCCAGATTACTATGAGTATAGTTTTTAAATACTACTTTATTGGGCAAGTATGAAAAGAGACAGCTGAATCTACTATCCAAGATTCAGTGCTGATTAGAGATAACACCAGGGAGCTATTTTGAATTTCACCAGTCGAGATATTTATAAAAGAATCATTTCTTGTCCTCTATTACCAGCTTTTCTTGGAGCTTTGCAGTCCTTCTTGAAATGTTATTTCTTACCTTAATTTCAGCATTCTCCTCTGCTTGACTTAGACTTTCCTCTATTTAACGTAGACTTTCCTCTGCCTGTATTCATGCCTAGATTATTTCTCGTGTTATCGACATTCAAAGTAGAACTTGAAGATTCATCATTCGCAACTTTTCTGCGAACATTTTCATTCAACATCAAACCCACGATGTCATCAAAGCTCAATGTCAAATTTCCTAAAGAGTTACACACCGTCATGACCAAACCATTCCAATTGTTCGAAAATGAAGATAATATTACCAGTGCTCTAACTTAGTCATCAAAATTGATCCCCACATAACAAAACCAACTTGTCATAGTATTGAAATTGTTCAGATGTTCTACTACTGAACTGTCTTCCACTATCTTCATGTTAAATAACTGCTTCAGAAAAACCTTATTGGAAATAAATGGTTTTCATACATCTTCGCCAGTTCCGACATGAGATCCACCATATTTTTCTCATTTACCATGTTGAACGCAACAAATGAAGAAAGTGCAGCCTGATCAAACCAAGTACTGTTTGATCTAATACTTGTCATTCTTCCATAGGCATGGACCCAGGCTTTCTTGTAATTCCTTGTAGTTGCAAGTATAGCTTTTTTGATACAACAAATCTTCTATTTACATCTTCCAAAATGCAAAGTTTGTTTCATTGAACTTCTCCACATTGAACCTTGCATCATCGGTCATTGCTCCCACTCAAATTAAACATCGCTCTAATATCACATTGTTGGGAGAAAACAGAGCTCTTTGAAGAATTCCCTTCCCAAAATTCACTGAAGCTTTAGACTCAATTAGAAATCTAAATCACACCACGAAAGATAATCGTATAGATTCAAAAAAAAAAGGAACAAACTTACGAATAAAAGCACAACAAAGCAAACCAGAAAAGGACATATGACTTTAGCGAGGAAAACCCCGATAATAAGAAAAAATCATAGAGGCACACCGCCAAAAAACTTTCACAATGAAAATAAGAGAGTTTACAGTAAACACACTTAATTTCCTCTCCACACTCTAGAAAACATATAAGAACTCGCACCAAACTAATCTTGTTTCGATCGAAAGCAAGAAACGCGCATTGTGATCACATAAATCCTTCTCTTCGACACTTCTCTCATTCACCATGAACTTGTCGAAGAACTCACATAGGAAGCACACATTTCGCCACTTGATATTGGTCTTAAAACCAAAAAGTTAAGTGCCAACTGCTCTGGGAGCCTAAACACCAAGCTTATTGGACCGACGCCCAATATTGGGTGCTTATGCGAGCCCCTTCTCTTTCAGTGCCCACAACCCAGCGCAAATGCTGCATTCGGTGCTCTTTCTACGCCCAGTGAGAGCTTAAGCACGCACAATCCGTTGCTTAATCGTCAGATGTTTTGTGTGGGTGCTTCGGCTCCATAAACCAACAATATATTAATTGGTGTGTTTTAAATTCGACCAGATCAATTGAATTTCGAATTCATGGAAAATGAACTAAGAATTGAAATTCAAATACAATGCTAGTTTATATTGAATTTCAATTCCTTCGAAACAAAAGATTAAATTTCTAAAATTCCTGTATTAAGAATGCAATACACTATTAATGTTGCTGGCCAAACAATAAGATCACTACTGATTAAAGGGATTGACATGAATGGTCCCTGCCTGTAGGTCAAATACAACCAAAACACAATCCATTCCCATGGAATAGAACGGAAGGCTATAATCTAGTTACATAATTATTGATTCAACCAAGTTGTCTTATGCCATGTGTTAATAAAAGCCATTTGATCTTTGGATCGAATGAGCCATAACATGTAAAGTGTAAATACAATCAACCATGTTGACCATGTGAGGAATTAATTTGAATTTGAAAAGGAATTAAATATATGCCAACAAAAAAATTCAAAACTAATTCAGCTCTCAACAAAATTTAACAAATAAACTCTATGGAATAAAAAAGAGGACAAACAGTAAAGTATCAAAATTTTAATAAATATGGTAAATCACTTAATTACCTTAATGATTTCCCATGATCTTCAAGTGATTCAATATTAAATACAAAGCTTCAAGCAGCAGTTATCTTGCTTTCTGAAGGAGATGATGACCCCAAGTAATTAGAAATGCAGACCTCAGAACTGTAAAATTTCCATAATTAACACCGTACAGCATGAATACAGCCATCTGAAGAAAATTCAATGCAAAAACAAAATCCAAACCTCATAAATACCTTCCATGCTTCACATCTTATATAACATCGCTGGATGACATCAAATTTCTTCTGAAGAAATTTTGCTTCTTCTTGTATTCATAAAATCGTGCAAAGTGCAGGTAGAATAGCAGTCCTACAGAGCTGAGACCAGCAAGAAGCCAGTAGAAGTAATCAAGATGAGCACGGTTCAGATTATCAGAGAACCAGCTCTCTCCGCTCTTACTAGTTACCCTGTCAATGACAGCTATGAGGAAGCTACTAAGGAAGCTTCCAAAACCAAAGATGCTAAGGTAGAGACCAAGCCCAAGACTCCTCGATGCATCAGGAACCTGATCGTAGAAGAACTCCTGCAAGCCTACAATGGCAAACACCTCTGCAATGCCATAGAAAATGTATTGAGGGGCTAACCACAGCAGACTCATCGGAATTGTTGTCGTTGGTTGATCAATCAGCCCATATTCTATTGCTGTTTTCAATCTCTTGGCCTCAACTAGAGCAGCTATTGCCATGGATACTAGTGAGACAATCAGTCCAATGCCAATCCTTTGGAGTTGCGTCAATCCTGTAGGAATCCTGGAAAATTTTCTGGACACAGGAACTAGGATTCGATCATAGATTGGAAGGAAAACAACAATAGAGATGTAAATGAAGCTCTGCAAGGCTGCAGGTGGAACCTGGAAGCTCGAACCGATTCTCCGGTCCATGGTGCTCCCTTGCTTAGTGAATAGGGTTGATGACTGTGCAACTACTATAGCATATATTAAGCATATTGCCCATATTGGTACTAACCGAAGCACTCTCCTGGCTTCTTCTATTTGGATTACATCCGGCGCCTCATTTTTCACAAATCTATATAAAATGGATTCATAAAATGATACCCGAGTTAACTCAAGCATAATAAGAAAATCAAATATTATTGCTGAACTCAAATATGAAAATACAATCTCACAAACAGAAATAGAAATAGCAACAAACACACCACAACAAATTCAAACTAAGCACGACACAACAAATTCAAACTAAGCAGGTGCAGGGGCAGCAATAAAGAGGAGGCTGGACCGTTGGGAAACAGCTGGGAGACCTGTCCTGGGTTGTGGCAGCATGGGAGGAGGAACGCGGCAGCTAGAATGATAGAAATAGATGGCTGGGTGGCTGGAACAGCAGAGAACCAGGAACTACCATTTCTAGGCCGCTGCAAGAAGGGAAATGTCGGCGACAACGACGGGGAATGCAGGGGACTGCAGGACAGCAAGAGGACGGCTGTCTGAAGTGGCAGCTGCGAGAACAGCTAGCTGGAATTGAAAAACTGCAGGAAAAAACAATAGCTGCTGTTCCAGGGCGGCTGCAGTAGAGAAGAATGAAATGCAACTGGAAGCGATGGGAATGATAAATCACCACCTCGAGAGTCATATACAGCAGAGCACCACTTGTTCCCTCGAATACAGCCTTTGAAGAGAAAAAATAGACATTGGCGGCTGTCTCGATAGAAATTCACGCAAAAACTAACTCCACAATATCAGAAACACATATAGAATAACATGAAAAGTAGGAGTGATCCATGAGGACCGGCTGACTCCATAGAACTAAATAAAACCTAGATCGGTTTGATCTAGGTATGACATGTCAATCAGGAAGGACGAAAATCAAACAACTAAATTAGGAGTAGGAACTTCCTTATTTCCAATATCTTTATTTTGAGTTATTTCCCTTTTAGCTGAATATTTAGATTAGAAATATGTATTATTAAGTTACCTAAAATAGATTATATGCACTTTATTTTGTATCTAAAATAGATTGTAAGATTGTTATTTAATGGAATGAAAGCAAAGGGAAAAGGCAATCGAGCCTATTCAATATTCATCCTATTTTCTCAAAAATTTGACATGGTATCAGAGCCAAGTTTTTCCCCTAACCACCAGTAGTTATTGGAGGAACGTCAAGTCTCCCTTCTCGCCGGCATTTTCTTACAGGAAGGGAGGAATTATTTCTTTGCCTTGATTCTCGCTCGTCTGCTTTGTCTAAAACCCCGCACCACAACCATGCCTTTCGCCGGAGAGGACGATCCCGCCGCAGGAGACGACGAAGTCACTGATAAGGAGGAAATGATCGGCATCAGCGACTACATCCATCAACAAATCGCCAATACAAGTGAAGGAGAGGAATCCCGGAGGATGTTTCAGAAGCCGTGAACTCACACAGACGGGATGAAGGTCTTGCAGGGATTTTTGGAGTTTACGTTGAAGAGGGGAACGACGCACACCAACTACCAGCATGACACAGGACCCTTCTTCAACGAGATCCGGCCTCGGCTACAGTTCGATTTCAATAAGAACCAGATCACGGAGAAACAATGCCGACTCAAAAAGAAGTACCGCAACGCTGCCACCAAGATGGGATCGGGCCGAGGATTCGTTTTGAAGAGCCCTCACGATCAAGCTACCTACGAGATTTCACATAAGATCTGGAGCACAACGTTTTTCCGACTAGGGTTTCTCTAATGCCACAACTGTGCCTCTCTCCTCCGCGAGCCTCGATTCCCATCCATGGCGGTTACTGCTCCTGCGGTCCCATTGACGACAATGCGATGTTACTTATCTTCCGCACACTATTGGACGGTACTTCGTGAAAAGGTATCGAAAAGCACAATGTCCCATTGTTGAAAGAACAAGGTGACTAAAAATTATAACTTGAAGAAGATCAGACTTGCTCGACAGGCAGATAAATGTCGTAGGTCTGCTCGCCAAGAGATGGTACTTATTCTAAAGTGCAAAATCCATTCATTGTGAAAATTAAGGATCCTTGGGTTGAACAAGGATGTTATGTTTGTATCATCATTCGTCCGATTCTGATCTTCTTCAGTAGGCATTGCCGCTTCTGTGGCATCATTGACTGCTTTTTACGCATCGTTCGTCTGCTTCGGCTCTGGGTTTCGACACTCTTGAGCTTCACCATTATTGGGCTCGACACTCTCGAGCTTTGGCCTCTCGGGCTTCGGCACTCTTGAGCTTCGACAATCTCAGGCTTCGGCACTATCAGGCTTCGGCCTTTTGGACTTCGACACTTTTAGGCTTTGGCAATCTCAGGCTTCAGCCTCTCGGGCTTCGACACTCTCAGACTTCGGCACTTTCAGGCTTCGACACTCTCAGGCTTCGACATTCTCAGGCTTTGGCACTCTTAGCTTCAGCAGCTTGAGGATTTTTGGTACCGAAAATGTTATCAGCTTCATGTTAGCAAATTGATACTTTCTGATCAGTCAGCATCAATTTGAGGAAGATGTCAATCAGGAAGAACGACAATCAGACAGCTAAATTAGGATTAGGAGTTACCTTATTCCAATATCTTTATTCCGAGTTATTTCACTTTTAGCTGAATATTTAGATTAGGAATATGCATTTTTAAGTTACCTAAAATAGATTATATGCACTTTATTTTGTACCTAAAATAGATTGTAAGATTGTTATTTAATGGAATGAAAGCAAAGGGAAAAGGCAATCGAGTCTATTTAGTATTCATCCTATTTTCTCAGAAATTTGACATGAAAATGGGGGACTTCCCACGTCAGGCAACGATCGGGGGAGTGCATCCCGCCCCGTGTCATAAATAGTTTTTATTTGAAAAAAAAATGTAAAAATTGGGGTGATATAGGATGTAAAGAAGCACATTATAATGCAGAAGTTCAGGCAAGCATCTACCAAAAACAAAAGAAATAGAAAACCAGCAACTGGAAAGGAAAAACTATATGATTGACATCCAAAGTTGGCAGAGGGAGATAGAGTTCACAGATTTCATCTTATGATTCTAAGAAGAGATCCAACTGAACTTGAAAAGGGGAAATCCAGAGCTTCCAAGAATGAAAAGGAAGAAAGAAAAGCTATTACAAAAAAAAAAAAAAAAAGATGTGTGAGAAAACCATTTCAGCAGAATCTTCCTTACATGGTAAGATCAATTCCTGCATCTTCATAAGATGCGGGCGTCCATATCCCCTTTAATGCCTGAGAAGATACTATCCAACTTTTAACAATTGCAAGCAATGATTTCCCAATTCTAAGAAATGGGCTTTCACCTCCCAATTGGTAGAAACGATATGTCTTGGTCCCAAGAAAGAACAAGATGAGAGCAAGTCCCATGGCAAAAAATGGTATCCCAAATCCAAGGGCCCAGCTAATATTATCTTGCACATAATTTAAGAGTATAATCGTCAATGCCATGCTGAGGCATAAGCCACAATACCACCAGTTAAAAAATGAGCTCCTTGAGAGGCTCTCTTCAGGGTCCTTCTCATCAAACTGATCAGCGCCAAATGCTTGTGTGCAAGGCTTGTGGCCACCTTGAGCAAGTGCAACAAGGTATAGACTGAAGTAGAAGAAGCCCACTTGGAAATAATTTGGCCTGCATGCCTTGTGATCATCTATAGAACACTTTGGTGAACAAAGGCTTGGCAACACAGACGATAGGGTCAACAGACCTAAGCCCTGAAACTCCATCCATTTAAGCAAATATATTGAGAAGGTATCTAAAATCACTATTAGAAAATAATCTGCAAAACTTAATGCTAGTTTCAACTGTATGATGTTCCATTTTTCTTAGTTTATTGTACTGAAACGGGGTTATGGTGAATATCTGAGGGTTATTGTAATCCAAATAGTTCTTGACACGACAGACTTTGCCCTTGTGACAATGTGGTACGGAAAAAAAATTTCTATGCTTATAGCAGTATATAATAACATTGAAATTTCTATAAAATCTGATAAAAAATAGTTTCTTACTGGAGTATTCATATGATTTAAGTAGCTAGAGCGTAAGATAATTCTGCAGAAGCCACAGCAAGGCGAATGGATATGTACATAATTTGTTGATGACTCCTATATTCAGCATATAAAAATATGATTGAACTTTTCTTTTGCATGTTCAAAGATGAAGAGAAAGCTCCCACTGAACATTCACAAAATCAAACTGACCAAGTACAACTTGTGAATTTTCAACAACCAATTACTTTCACATGCAATGAAAAATAGATTTTCACAAACTGCACAATTTTGTACAAAAAAATGAGTTCCATAAAACCTGAAAGTTAACGTATTTTTCTTTGAGCACACCACATTCAAACCAGGAAAAGAAAATAAAGATAAAGAAAATAATTCATTCTTTTTGCAGCAATGTATAATTAAATAGGAATGATCGATTAACTAAAAACTCTCATTAAAAATTGTGTACATGTAATAACTTGCCAAAAATAAAAGTATAACGTAAATACAATCTAATCAAACTAACATAAAATATCAAATGAAAATAACATAAAAGATCAAAGATATAAGATGGGTTTAGTATAATAGATTTCTCTAACTCCTATAGTTCAACACAATAAGATCCATAATTTTAAATAAGAGTATAATAAATAATCAAAAGCCCTTAACACTCATCATCTGGGGGTCTTCATTGAAGTTTTTAGTTTAGTCTAAGTTCTCCCATTTTTCTTTTACTTTTACAACCTAAATCATATTTCGCTTCTCTTTTAAGTAGTATGGCGTCATGTGCTTGATGGCCCAGCTTTGTTTTTGTCTCTATTAAAGAAATAAATGATCAAATATTCTTATTTAACTCAGATGGATATTATTGCCACTTACAAATCACTCATCATGTGATGACATATCTTCACAATGTCGGGGGTATTCATCATTCTCCAAACCCTTTTTCTTCAATTTTTTTATCCTTCAATCTTCTATTATACATGATGTACAAGAAGGAATTCAACTTTAAGGTGGTCAGACGACTTCTCATTTTTTGTGAACTTGATTATATGTGCTCCAATTATGATCACATTTAGATAACAAGCATGCAAGTATTAATACCAACAAAATATTATAGCTAAAAAGTACCATCACCAAACTAAATCCACCATTCAACTATATGTAAAAGAGAATGGTTAATAAGAACATAGAATTTTAGAATTTAATTCTATTTTCTACACATTAAATAATGAAAATTACTTGAATGTTTTATAATACCATCTTCTATTTGTTGTAGGCAAGAACTCTTTCTTATTCCTAATAAAAAGAGTTGCATTTAAATAACTTTTCTCTCATTTAAGTTAGCAATTAATCTATCCAGGCAATGTTGTAGCCTCAACTTGATCTCAAAGTTGATAGATTTGTTTTTAGCATATTGAAATTAAGGATAGATGAAATATCCAATAACTTGCAAATGGCAATGGGGTTAAAGCTCCCATTTCTTTTTAATAAAATCTCATATCCCTATAACAGGCATATTTTCTTATATGTATTAAATTAATGTTTATTTAATAAGAATTTTTTAATGCTTTAGATAATTATTTTTATAATTACATGCATATTGAGAACATAAGAATTAAAGAAAATGAAATGAAGAAAAGGGAAAATGATTGTTCAATATCTTTAAATGGAGAAAATTAAAAGAAATGAAATATAAATGATTAAGTCAACCAAAATTACCCCCAAATGGAACTGACAGAGGATGCAATGTACCCGTGCACGGTAAATGAAATAGAAAATGTAAAGTTGCGCATTCAAGTGCAAATTTATTAAGGTATCTACGAGTATAATTTTAAAGATAACTTCATATATGACGATAAATCTAATATGACTTCTTAAAGATGTTATAAATGATAAATCGTTGAATTGAAACGAGAATGGTAAATTTAAAAATGAAAGCTTACAATTTGATTTTATTTATAAATTACATAACTTTGGGACTTTTATGCATAGCATTTGCATATGAATTTAATACGTGATAATGGTGTAACTGCTTATTAAGTCGTGAAAGCTTGCTTCTTAATTTAATTGATTCTTTCAGAAAAATTTGAAGATTGATACGTCTGAGAGGAGAAATTTAGTTTACATGAGGAGACTATAGCTGATATGTATTATGTTGTGATGTGATTGTAATTTTCTTTTGTATATTTTTTTTAATTAATGAAATAATGTTATACATTAGAATGAGATATTGTCTGCAAACTATATGATTATTTCTGTATGTTTTGATTTCTGTGTAGTGTAATTTGTTGTTTCTTATTGACTATATATTGGAATTTAGGAAAATATGTGGAAAGTAAATAAAACATTAATACCGTCTAACCGCAATTCCTGACTTAAGAGTATGTTTGGGGCAACGACACCTTTTTAAAAAGCTACTGCACAACATCTGCCCAAGAAAGCTGTTGGGCATAAACTATTGCGCATAACTACTGCGAGAAAGTTATGTGTCTATTTATTTTGAACAACTGTGCAACAATTGTTTATGATAAAAAGATTTTTTTGCACGTGTATTGTTGTGTTATTATAATAGAATCAGTTTAGGTTGAATAACTCACATGAAAAAAAAATTACATTCAAAATCCCAAAAAACTCATAAATTCAAATATTACACCAAGAACTAACATCTTATTTAATAGTGGGTAACACAACAATCAAAATTAAAATTAAAACTATTAAAAATAATAATTAATACCAACATAATATTAATTTTGAAATGCAGATGATCAATTGTACGAGAAAAATTCTTCTCCAAAGAAACTCTCAAAGGAACCACAAACCACAAAGTATAACGCAAAAATTTAGAGATAGAAAATTACCACCTAAAAGAACTACTCAAAGGAACCAAAAAACAACAAAGTATCCCCAATATCTTATTAACCCATGAAACTTTGAATGCCTTAGGATGAGGCCAACAAAGAGGAGATATCTTGATAACGAGGGGTGCACTTAAATAAACACACCCACGCCACAGAAAGCAAATGCACTGAAGTACGATCATGTCGTACCGCAGCAAAAAAAGCTTCCCCAAACGCATCATTAGTTAATGTTAAGACATCATATCGGGTCTTCATAAAAGTTGTATCAAATCAATCAGATTGAACCATGATAAAAAGAGTCATTAGGTTGATTAAATTAATTCATAAATAATATTAATAAAAGATTAAATTTTGTCTAATTATAATCTTTCTTATGTTATTTTAGAAAAATGAAAAATCAAGGGGAAGAAGCTAGAGATGATGTGGTAGAAATTGATACACCACTAAAGATCACTGTGAATGCATATACTTTTGCTGAGATGATGACTGCAGATTAAGAAGTCTCATACTCAGGTCAGTTCTAGTGGGGGAGGCCGGATGAACAAATATTTGAAACTATTTTAGGATATGAGGTCACACACTTTTCTGCTGAAGGAAGTCCAGTGGTTGGTAAGAGTAGAAAAGATTCAAAATAGGTTGTTTAGTCCAACAAAGATGAGAGTTGCACTTCTCACTTTTGTCATAAAAGGACAAGTGGAGAGATTGTACCGAAAACAATTGTAGGAGAAATTTGGGGGTAGAGCCAATCCACATGCTGCAGTGGGACAAGTTCATGAATACTTTTAGAGACTAGTTTGTACTACTTTCAGTTAAAAGGCAAATGCAAGATAAATTCATTAAAGTGGTGCGGGAAGATCAATATATTATGCAGTATGAAGCTAAATTTTCTATGCTTTCAAGATATGCATCACAGTTGATTCCAAATGCAAAGGAGTGCCGCAGTTTTTTGTCTGGATTGAAAAATATGAATAGACAACCATTGATTCCTCTTGGAATTGATGATTATTTTGTTTTGATAGAAGGTCATGAGGATTAAGTTTGAATTAAAAGCAACTCAGAGGAGGGATTTCAAAAAAGAAGAAATTTAGAAGGATTCAGGTTTTCTCAAGGTTCTCAGGGCAAAGAGTCCTTCCAGTCAGGAAATATAGGTGCTAACAAGGTCAGATTTGGCATTGTTGGCAGCCAGTCTGAAGTCAGAAACAGGGCTGTCAATTTGGCTCGTTGTTCGTGAACAGCTCGTGTTCGGCTCGTTAAGCAGCTCGTGTTTGGCTCGTTCGTTAAGCCTAACGAGCCGAACACGAACAAATTTTTAAGCTCGAAATGTAAACTAGTCGAACACGACCAACAGTTTGTTCGCTCGTGTTCGGCTCGAAATGGCTCGATAAAAAAAGAAAAAAAATATATATAATTTTTAATATAACAATATATTACATATATTATTTATTCAAAAGTTTGTCAGCTGATTATTTAAATTATTTAAAATTTTATATTAAGTAGTTTCTTATTATTTATCTATTTATTGTTAATTTGCTTTGTGATTAAATTATACTAATAACTTGAATTAGGGTCTGTTTGGGGCAGCTGGAGTTTATCTGTATAAAAAAAACTTATCCTGATAAACTGTTGATCAACAGTTGATCCTGATAAGCTGACTGACTGTTTTGGGCAACTGTTTGAAAACAGTTGATCTGCGGTTGTTTGTAGATCAATGACCATTCTGCTCCTATTAAGTGATATTGTTTAAAGTATGACGTTTGTGGGAGGCCACACAAAGGTAAATGTCTTTTTGGATCTAACATTTATTTTGGTGCTACCAATCAGAACACATTGTGAGAAATTGCCTTAGATTGGGACAAAGGACTCCGA